TGCTACACAGCAGGCTCCGAAAATAAGCAGGGTCCGAGTGGAAAGCGACGTAGTTTCCCTGAAGCGGGGCAGTTTCATAGTTTAGAGAGGGTTTGCAAGGCGAGCGCACGATTTCCGGGTAGTGCGAGCCCGGGTATTTGTTAAAAATCTGAGGTAGATGGGCGGCGGGGCGCGCAGCGGCGGCGCCCGGGCGCGGGGACTGCGCGCTGATTGGCAGGGGCCGCGCAGCTCCGCTCAGGCCCCGCCAAAGTTGGTGCTTGTCCTTCCAAAAACCCGGGCGGGGGCTGGCCGCGGGGGGGGGCGAAATGGCGGCGGCGCCTTTGTGGCGAGGGCCCGGCCGACCCTCCTGCGCTTGGTCTTGAGCACACGCTCGGTTTTGCAGGAAGTGTAGAGCGCTTCCACGTCTTCCCGGGAGATGAGCGTGCATTTGGCGGCGTGGAAGGCGATGCTGTTGATTGCCTTGAGTTTCCGCAACTCCTCCAGGTCGCAGTGGTGCTTTTTCACTTTCAGATGATCCATGCGCTTGTGCACGGTCGTCCTCGGGATATTTTTCAGAAGATCCGTAAAGACTTGGGAGAGGGCAAACATTTGCTTTCCTTTAATGATGAGGTAGCCGAGCCTCACGCCATCCACCTCTTCAAAACCTGACTTCAAGTCTCCCATCTCGGGCACTAAATGATCCCCACCATTTGCAGTAAATATATACGTGACGCACACATACACATGTATGTATGTTAATCCTCCGCCAGATGCTGCGTGTGTCTCAAGGCATCCTGCTAATAAAATAACAAAGACTGTTATTCCCGGCGAAGGGAGTGCCAAACTCTAGGCAAAATTATTGGGGGGGAAAAAAAAACCCCATGAAATTACACTGACTTGATTCTTGCTTTTTTTTTTTCTTTTTTTTTTTTGGTTTTCGTCTTTTTTGAAAAAGAGGGAAAAAACCATCCGGTTTCTGATCTGCCAGTGTTTCGGTCTAAGTCCCCGATGCAGATCAGTACCTGGGCCCTTCTATTCCTTCCTTCTCCATTGGAGCACTATGGTAATGGAATGTGAAGGGAGAAAGAGAAAAGAAATGCAGCTGCTATTCCCGCCGCTGCTTTAGCTACAAATAAAATGACAGAGTGAAGTGAGCTCGTCCGGAGACACCTTCATCAATTAATTCCCCTAAAGCCAGCGCTGATTGGACACTCCTGACAGGTGATGCAATAAAAATTGATATTCCACCCCTTCCCCCCAAAATCTCCCACTAATTAGCATACCCTTATACTGCCACCTCCCCTCCCAAAGTAAATAATACAGTCGGTATATAAATCTTTCCATTAAACTATCGGAGCTCAGAAACAGCCTGACTCATAGACTTCATCCGAAGCAGTGTGTGTAGCTTAAAAAAAAGTATATTCGCCTTTAAAGAAATATTGCCTATTTTTTGCTTTATTTGCATTTTACCAATACAGCTATTTTCTTTCCAAAGAAAAACATTTTTAAAAACGTTATCATACCTAAATAGATATACCCCACCCCCCTTTCCTTTGGAAAATGGAGCTCAAGCGAAAATGTGCAGAATAGCCTGGTATTTCCCTTATGGGAGTGGGGAAGGAGACCGGCTGGAAGCTCCAAAGTTAACCCGCGCAGTGAACCACCCCAGTACAGACTTACGTTTGGAATTTCTCTCGTTTTTCCTTTTTTTTTTTCCCCCTGAAATGTCTTTTTACAACCAGAAACAAAGTTATTTCACCAAGGAAGCAGTTCAAGGCTCCAGCTCCGAAACACTGTAACAATTCCACTGGATTTCGGTTCTCTGCTGGGGGGTGGGGGGTGGGGAGGAGGTAGTTTCACGTCAGACCCATAACAAAGCATAGATAAGCCAGAAATGTGTACACTTTTCACAATTAACCAGGCTGATTGGAGGCAAGATTGTCCTACATAGGGTCCCCAGCACAGTCTTTGCTAGGGTCCTGTTCACCAAAGGTCAGAATTCCAGGGAGTGGATTGCTTCCTTCTGCAGCAAAGAAAATGTAAAATGCCCAAGGTGCTTCCAGAGGTTTGTGTACGTAGTAACAATGAAAAGAAAGTGCTGATGTAGAATGCAGACTACATTAGTGGTCTGAGATGCTTTTGGTTGATAGTTTAGGTGAATCTTCCAGAACTCCCATTTTTTTTTCCATGAAAGCCAAGCTTTAACATAATCACTTTGGGTGAATAACAATATGGTTTAACCTCTTCTTAGTCAAATTAAGACATATTTTGGTGTCTTTTCAAGGATATCCAAAATATTGCCAAACGAGGTTAAGGGTCTTCCCAGTTGCATTACCAAGATCTCAAGGCGGTCGGTTGGTTGCTCTGGCAAATTCAGAAAAATCTTCTTAACTGGTTTGGTGTTTGCAACTACAGCATAAAAGCAACCCAAGCATTTATATGTTTCCTTGTTCCTCCAAAAATAGACACATCCGTGTGGTTAAAAGAATAAACGGATATTTCTGAGGCTGCAAGAAAAAATTGTACAATAATTTCTTTCTTCACATTCAAAAGTTCCAACTTCCCCTGCTCTGGTCTGGTAGCACAAGCAGGTATGGTTCAAAAAGGAATTAAAAAACAAGGTAGAAGCAGGAATCACACGTACAAAAAGGTAGTTTGCTCGACAAGATGAAATTTCGGCCATAGTTCCCCACCCCCACCCTCATCTCCCTTGTAATTTCCCAGGAATTTTGAAGAGAATTGGGAATTTCGAGAAGTGCATCCGGAAATTAAGGAAGTCTATTTAAGAGAGTCTGTAACTCAGGAGGTTGGGATTTGAAAAGTCAGCCCTGGACTACTGTTGCACTCAGCACAGATGTAATCGCCGCTCTTCAACTTAATCAATGTGTGTACAAACCGCGATGTCTAGTTCTTGCCTTTGAAATCTAAGGCTAGCATTTCCATCCAAGAAATCAGAGCTACAGCAAATTACATTTTTGTCCCTTGAATGAGAGAAGGATCATTGAATGGATCTCGTGATATTTCAGGCTTTAAACGTAACCGAGAGGCAGCAATGAACAATGCCTCGTCACAGCTAATACCATCCACCGAGTTGGCTTTCTTTTGCATCTGGATCTATCACACCGCGTTTTTCTCTTTCACTTTCACAGGAGGCAAAATGCACAAGGTTTAAGCAGAAAGCGAAGTTTCCAGGAAAAGCAGATGCTGGTGTTTGTTTTAAAAGTAGAATGACCAGGTCTTTCCTTTGCCAGCGACAATAATGTCGTTTTAGACCAGAGAGTCAAACAGCCAAGAAATAGTAAACTCAGAAAAAGCCTTTGAGGAGGCATTACAAAAGCTTGGCTAGGGCGTTTTTTGTTTTGTTTTTGTTTTTCCTTTCTGGACCAGGTAGTTTTAGTTGTTCTCAAATCTTGTTTAGATTTACATACACACACACACACACACACTCTCTCTCTCTCTCTCTCTCTCCTATTCCGCCTGCACATAGCAACATGATTTAGTAACTATTTCACAATTACCTTCTTTTCTTCTCTCACTTTCCACCCTTTAAATACTGGCAATATAGGTGATTTTGAAAATCAGTAGAATATCCAGCATTTTTTAAAACTAAAGGTATAATCTGCTGGGTCAAATAGAGAAAAAGAAAAGCCAGGGGATCTGGGAGATGTATCTATGTATACTGTTTAGGTGAGTATCTCCCTACGTGGACTCAGACACCTTTACACTTATACATTTTTAATACTCCTAATACACATCTTTCTTCTTGCCTAATAATTCTTTTGTTCCTTTAACTTCCCCATCGTTGTGTATGTGTGTGTGCACATGAGCGCGCAAGTGTTCAAGCCTTAACATACACACACACACACACACACACACACACACACACAATGTGACAGACAGCTTTCTTGTGGCCATCAGCACACGTTGCATATCCGGGGTCTTCTCCAGGCACATTGGGGGTCGATCCCGATAAAAAGATCTAGCAGAGGCCCCTGAGCGCTCACACATGAAAGGCAGGGGACTTTAAGATGGATTTGCATGCACACAGGGGATTTCGATCAATAGCTACCAACATTTATGGCTTAGATTATTAATGCGAAAGCGGGCCAAAAGAATGGGGATGAAAAATTAAAGGTGTCTGTTATCAATTATGCTTAAAGTTATGCAATAATTTACTTACTTTGCCTGGATGTGCAGATCCAGATGTATAAAGTACTATTCTTCAAAAGCCAGGGGATTTCTTTGATAAATTTGTTGACCATGTCAGCTGCTTCTACAATCAAAGATGAACCCAATTCAGATGATGGACTGTATTCAAATTCTTTTTTAAGAAAAGATATATCAACTCCTGTGTTTCTCAAATGCATGTACATATGTGAATGGATGTGCCCAAATGAACATTTATGTGTATATCTCTGTGGGTCCAGGGAATTATTGTGAATTTAGGCAAATACATGCTATGCACTGAGTTTGTTAATTAAATGTGATTATTTACCCAGTGAGGATGCATAATCTATACGCTATTGTAAAAAGTATTGTAGCTTTGAAAACAAAGCTGCTTGCTCAAAGAAAATCCTTAGCAAATACAGATTGAAATATATTCTTAAGGTCCACTTCTGCATTTATTGTAAAAAATCAGCACTTTCATTTTTTAAAATGATGGGCTACAAAGATATGAACATCTTTGTCTTTACTTATCCCAGATCAATGTGCTAAATTTACCTTCAGATTCTCTATTTTGATTTATTTTCACTGTATTTTATGTTTAAATACCTTTACAATTCAGCCTGACCTCTTTCCTCTGGAGCGGAGTAATGCACACGGCATTTACAGTCTTTTAAATGGTTATCTGGGAAATGCAATCGCAATTTGCAGGAGTAGTTTACTAATGGGAAAAGTTCTTTTGAAAACTGAAGGAAAATCTCAGAGTACTTTTGCATTTCTACACTACAACCATCATATAATTAAAGTATTGAAGAGCATTAAAATAATCCTTTTTCTTCCAAGCTCTCAACCATACATACATAATTTAAATGACGATCACACCCTCACCACCAGTACCTAACTCTTCCCCATATACAGTTGTTTTACTGATTGCTGGGCACATTTTGTTCAAAGTGAATTCAAACAGAAATGAGTAAGGAACATCACAAAAGCCTCAACAATGTAAGTATACTGAATAAAAGAAAACCCTTGTACTATTAACTACAAGTGACTATAGTACTTATGACATAAAATCTAAAATAATAATAAAGTCTCATATAGCTGAGTTAGTTGAAGAGAGAGGACAATAAAATCTAAACAGTTCCTTAGCTAAATTTATACCACACCTCTGGTTTTTGGGAGGGAAAAATGGGAACAGAGGAGAAAGAAATGGCTAAATTTAGGAATGACTTAAATGATAAGTGTATTTTCCTTATTTTTTTTTTTTTTTTTTTTTTTCTCAAAAAAAAAAGGGGGAGACTCCCCAAAAGGGCCCCCCCCTTTTCTTA